TGAAGAACTGGTATTGAAAAAAATGGGGGTCTTCTCCTGTCTTGGGGACACTGATAGGATCATGGTCATGTTTTTTCTTGCTTCCGTTTTTTGTACTTTCCCCTCTTTAAACCCGTATCCGTTCTCTGTTTTGTCCTTGAGTTCAGTTCGCTAAATTTTGAGAAGCATTTCGGAAGAATCTGGATAGTTTATTTACTGGGTGTACATGCTAGAATCGTAGTTTAGAGAGGAGGAAAATTCCAATTTTTCGACTCTGCAAAAAATGCACGTGCCTTCGGTAATTCGAAATTGAAAGATTACTAGGTTGCTGTTTGGCAAATGAGACGGAATCGGACTGCCAATTGGCACGTCATAACAACAGATGAAAAATGGAACAACATTCGATTTAGGGAACTTTTGAAAATCAAAAAAGGAGTAGGATGATAAGTGGATTATTAGAAAACTAGCTGAAAATTCGAAACCAACAAAACTGATTACAAACTCTCAAATAGGACGCCCTCTAAAAAACTTGAAACTCATATCTTGTTTCCTGTGAAAGATATCAAAAAGTTGTCAACTGACAAAATGTTTAACATAACATCAAAAATATTTTGTCAGTTAATCACTGTTTGATATCTTTCAGAGGAACAGAGAAAAATTGACTTCAAGTTTAAAGTCAGGGGTGGCGTTCTATTAGAGTGTTTACGGTAATTCTGTCAAAAAATGTTGGCTATAAACCTAGCTAGAGAGTTCGAAAACTTGAAAACTTTCCTTTTTCTTAAATTGATCTCTAGCCATTTAATCATTTCAACTACACACCGTACTCTTCAATTATCATCACATAGATTCCAATCTTTTGGAACCGTTAGCTAAACAATTTCGTAAATCGAACCATGTGAAAAAACGTCATCATCTTCTATTCTTTTTCGTCTCTCGTGTCCTTTGAAAACAGTATTTTTTTCTTGTTAGACATAGAGACTAGACTGTACAATGAAACCTGTTCAGAACTTTACAGTTTGTGATATTGATATCTTGATCAGTTTATCTGTTCAGTTTGGTGAACTATGTCGATTAAGAAGATCTAATCTTCCGAGTCTTTCAAATACTCTTGATTGCAAAGTTTTAGGTCTTTTTCTTTCCAACTTTCTTCCTTTGGAAATCACGTAATTTTCAAAATCTGATAGTTTTATGAAACTTTGACCAACTATACTATACTAATGCACTTTTTTGGAATTTCCACTATATCACGAATCAGATCGAAATGTCAGTCCGGATTGAAAAGATTTCGGAAATAGGAGAAAGTATTTGTTTGAGGAAAAGCGATGTATGTACAACGGTGTGTGGGGGAGGGGCTAGATTGTAGCAGTTTCCCTTTTTAATGACATTGAAAAAGAAGAAGAAGAAAGAAGTGGAAGATTCATGGAGTCAAAGAAGAAGGTCCACGCTGGTCATGAGATGAGAATAGTAAAAAAACAGTCAATTTTGGAAGAAATGGATCAGAGAAAAAAGAACAAAATTCAGAAATTTAATGGAGAAGAAGAAGAAAAAGGGGGAAGAAGGAATAGAGGTTCAAGTCTGATTCACGTTTTCCTTCGAGATGGACATCAAACAGGTTGCGTTTCGCGACAAAAATCGGATGATGTTATCCCAGTACGTACAACATTCTTCAATCCTGGACGCTTTCCAAGTGCAAAGTGGGAATAGAAAAACGGGAACCTTTGTCGACTCTCACTGATAAAAATTATACCGTCAGTTTTCAAAAATTAATTGCGTCACACAAGGACTGGGACCAGTTTTTTGACAAATTTCAGACAGGAAGGTTCGACTGAAAAAATGTGTAATAAAGATGACGTTGCACACAACATCTCGAGACACCCATAGGAAGGGAAATGGGTCGTGTCAAGGAATTTCATTGTCGTTCAGAAGGGTAGTAGAAGGTATGTATAGGTTTCGAATTGAATTGAAAGGATCAGAAGTTCACGTCAATCGACGTTGTCGATTGAATTAATTGGTTGATGGTAATCCCATGGGAATGTCAGTTAGCAGCAAGACTGTGTAGTTTTACAAGAGAAATCATTGAAAAGAGGAAGGTTAAAAAGAATTTTTGTAGATATAGTACCGTTAAGATATACAAAAACATATGTTTCCGTTGCTTTTGACCATTTTCAGGAGCCTGGAGCTCTTTTTTTCAGGAGCCTGGAGGTTTCCGATCACTTTGAAAACTTTGGAGGATTGAAAATAGACCTAGATTGAAAAGTTTGCATTCACGAAATTCTTTAAAATATTTCAAGTTTTTCAGCTATCTGCGTTTCAGCGAATTCTGTGAATGCAAACTTTTCAATATAGGTCTGTTTTGTAACCTCCAAAATTTTCAAAGTGATGGGAAAATTGACAGCCAAGCTTGTATTTTTTCAAAAACAGCTAGCTCCCAAAAAACTTAAAGACCATGTTTTGATTATTGAGCATCCGAAAAGCTCTTTCAAAATCAATTATAAAGCTGATGCCCATCAAAAAGTTTGGTCAGAAAGCAAACAACTCTTTTTTCCAAATAACAACTTTCTTTCTTCCCATGGCCCCGTTTTTTTAGAACATTTGTCTTTCTAGAACAACGAAACTCATACACCTTGGGAATTTCTCGATAACATAGAAACAACTATCTGAAACGATCTCATGGACCATAAACTATGATTTTCTTCTTCTCCCTGTTTTACAACCATTCGAAATTTCGAAAGTTCTTTCTTCAATAAAACAATTAGTAGACGAAAAGTTGATACAAAAAAACTGGTGCAAGCAAAACTCAAAAAAAAAGAAGTAGAGTGATACCAATCAACTCGATCTTTGTTCAAACTTTTCTCTAATTTGCCAAACAGTTTTCCTTTTCTTTTTTCCGCAATTTTGGACAGCAGGAAAGAAGAAAAAAGAAAGAAGTAAAAAAAAAACAATTCACAGAAGAAGAAAAAGAAAAATATGATAAAATAACAAGAGAAGCACTTAGCAACCATTGCCTTCTGACTGATGAAATATCCGAGGAGAGGACCGGTTTGATCTACCAGTTCAGATAATCGCTTATCACATAAAAAAATATATGTATTCAGAAGAAATGAAGAAACAGGGGAAACTAAATAATTTTCAGAATTAGGGAGTGTTCTTCCACTGTTGCCAGAAACGAAAAGTTACACAAATTCAAGATCTGTCCCGCTAAGAAAATGGAGGCGGTGGAGAGAATGGACTGGTTCTTTTGTGTTTGGAATATATGTATCGAGAAAATGACATTATAAGACAAAACACGGCCCTTCCGAACGGCGCTGGAGAATCGATAAAGGAGAAAAGATGGAAGAAGGAGAAGGATCTCGGAATGAAAAATCGAAAGTTTTTGCGCAGTCTGACTGCGTTTCCGCGCGGATGCACTGTTTCGGAGGCTAGAAGAGTGTGGAATGAGTGACCAGCAGCCTTTTTGGGATGTATCAATTTGCAAATCGAAGCTACGGGCATTTTGATGACGTTGCCTTGATTTGGTTTGGCATCGATATCCTAGGGTAAATTTCGTTTCGATTTAGTAAAATGAAAACTAAAACTGAATTCTGGAATTTCCAAAATACGAAAAATAAAAAAGTAGTGGACATCCATTACAATAGAAAGGAAGTTTTCAAAATAAGAAGAAAAACAACATTCAACGATTTGTTTGTAAATAACGAAAGATGATATCTAGGCGACCAATGATTTGTCACCTGTTCATGAGCTGTTTGGGGGGGGGGGCTTTAGCCGTCGTGTTTTTATTTACAAAAATCATAGGGTTCGAACTGATGTGATATGCTGTTGTGCTTTAATGAGAAGGTGATGTTGCGAGGTTTTAGGCCTGTAGAAAAAAAAAATTTAGGTGGAAAATCAACTAAAAACGCAAGAAATTTAAATTTTTACGGCAGTTTGGAAAAAAATGTACTATAGAAATATAGAAAAAATGAAATTTTTGGAGTGAGAAAAAATTTGGATCAAATTTTTTGGTGGTAGTCCGAGAAGTCTAGCTCTGGGGTATTTTGTCAAATTTCTCATGGTTATGCCAAATGCAACATCAAGATTATCGGCTAACTGGTTCACAATCCGTTTTCGATTTCAATGCCGAAAAATGCTTTCTATTAAACAGATTTACGATTTTTATGACAGGATTACAGTTGTGATGCAACATAGTGGTCAGGAGGCGTTGGTGGTCAGCAAAAAATGAATAAGTGTTTTTATATCGTTTTTTAGACGAGTTTTGTGACCAGACAGAGAGTACCTAATTATTTTCACTGATGACTTCTTGTCAAGAACACTTGTCGTTTTCTATTTTTTTGCAAATTCGTCTCACACAATAATCCAGAATGGTCATAATTGGCGTGAATGACCTAAATATGTTTTATGATTCAGATGAAGAGGTGGTGTGTATCTGAACCAAATTAAACCGTAATTCAAAAAGCGCTAAAAAATAAAGTATTGAGAAAACAAAAAAAATGCCCTAAAGTTTAGTTGGATATCAATCAATTATGCATAATAATTCTCCGCCAGACAATGAGACAATATAGATAAATTTCAGAGAAATGTACTGTCTGCGTAAACTGAATTCCGGCGAGAATAGAAAATATACAAGGTCATCCCGTCTGCGCATTGAACCAAAGTAGTACTAGGTCAACCCTACGGATACGGACGAGCGCCATCTGTTGACCGTTGCGAAAGAAAGAGAGGATACGGCTTCTATCTTCCGATGAATGTGTCTGCGTCTCAACTCTCTCTCTCTCTCTCTCTCTCTCTCTCTCTCTCATCCTCTGTGACTGAATTGATTAACATCTTCAACGTTCCCACAGCTTCTCATGGTTTCAGTGACTCACCGTTTCAAGACAAATATGTATTCACTTTTTTAAAAAGTTCAGACGACACTGTATCATTGAAAAAGGAGAAGAAAATGATTCAACAAACAGCGAGACAGTTGATCTAACTGTGACTAGTTGAAGGTTCCAGCACCTTCTCCTTCGTTTTCTTTGCTTTCGTTGGTTGTCCATTTTCTGATCGATGATTCTGTGGAAATTTGCATTTGAATTCAGGTTTGATAGAGGAATGGGTCACACGATGAAATGGGGAAGGACAATGGGGGTTTTCTAGGATTCGTCTAGAAAAAAAAACATCGTTCAGGTTGTCATCTTGGTTAGCAATGAGAGCAGACACCAGAGGTAATTACATAATATTTGCATAAATTTTTAAAGCAAACATGAATGAGACAATCAAGAAAATGATGTTGCAGTGTTAGGGATGTTCGGAACGGCGATCGAAATTCATAAAACTCAGAATTTCCGAGAAAAAAAGTTCGGAACATTTCCAAGCTTCTTTTTGGAAGTAAAGATTTTTGGATTACAGTATGTCCCCAAAAATTTGCTGAATTACTTCCAATTTTGTTTTTTTTCGAAATCTTTTCGTCAATTTTTTTTACCAATTTTCGGTGTTTTTGTGAAGGCAAAATGGAATTTCTACTTCAAAATTTGAATGTTAACAAATTCCGCAGTTTCCGAAATTTCGAAAATTCAGAAATCGGAATGTTCCGGAATATGAACCTTTTTGAAATTGGAATATTCCGTAGTTCCAAAACTCCGAAATTCCAAAATTTTGAAAATCGAAATTTTCGAAATTTCGAAAAATTCCAAAAAGATCATTCCGGAAATCCTTGGCTGATATGCAAAAATCGGAGCCGTGGAAGAGAACATCTCGTGACAGCAGCCATGGCCGAACTACCGTAGTTAACTAGTGTGTTTTACTTTCATATTTTTTGCTTGATTTCGGACCGTTTTCAATTTTATAGCTTTATAAAAATTTTATTTTCTGACTTGTGGTTTCAACACAAAAATTGTCGAGAAGCAGCGAAAATTTTAGGTTACAGTGGTTTTCGTTACGAGGATCATTGGCCACGCCTACAAGCTTTTCTCTTCCCCAGCTCCGAGTGTTTTATTTTCTTGTACCAAAGTAATATCGGAAAAACAGATTTTCCAACTTTGCAAAATAGTAAAACAACGATTCAACTTTATTTGAAATCACATTTTCAAACCAAAAAGCTTCGTAACAGGCCACTTATTGTTCTTCTTTTTCTCATAATCCTGAATGCCAGTAACAAAAATAGTGATAATTTTCCGGATTGGTCTCTTTCTTCCTCTATTATCCCCATCAATTTCTCCAAGAAACAATTGCTCGGACAAACCTAAAACCATCACTTCGTTACTTCCCGATTTCCAATAAACTTGTTGCTGTCCATTAGTGTTAATGGATTCACCCAAATAGTTTTCCTGCTGAACAATTTTTTGAATCACATCCCGCATTTCTCGTTGTAAGTGCAATAAATCTGAAAAATTAGACTTCAAAAAAATATTACTAAAATTTAAACAAACCGGAAAATTCTGCCTCTTCCATGGTGCTCATTTCTATAAGGAACTGATTGTTCAGATTCTCTTTTTGCTCGGCGATCTCTTTTTTACTAGCCATTGGACCCGCTGAATAGTCCCTGATTTTTCGACACAACTGCTTCAAATTTTGAGACGGAAGAACTTTAAGAATATCTTTGCTTAGCGATCGAAACTGATGACCGTGCCTGAGCAACAAATGAAGAACACCTTCCTTTGGCGAATTGGCAATCATAACTGTCTGAAAATTATTGGATCAAAATATTGAATTCTGTGGTTATGGACATCTTACAGTATACGAAAACTTGTCAGGAGTGACAATTTTCATCCAAAACGGAAGTTTTGAAGTAGATGTTTGTTTACCGACTAGAAACCCATTTGGATTCCTATCATTTTGAAAAAAAACGTTGAAGTGTTTCTTTGCCAATGTAAACTGTGGGATCTGGCTGTTATAGAACGACTGTCTTTCACTCCGCATTTGATTTGAATCAAGATATCCGCAATCTTTTCGACAGTTTTGATTGAATGCATCTCTTTGTTGGCTGGATAACTTTTGTCAATTTTAATATTCAAATAGAGACGGTCTTACAAAATAAACTGCTCGTAAATAACATTCAAACTTGGAACAGCTTCTCCAGGAACAATATTAGCAATAACCAAAGTGGAACTATCTGTTGGAGGAAGTTTGGAAATAACAATTTGATTGGCAGCTGGATTGAACCAGAATCGGTCAGGGATTGTTGAATGTACATTAAAAGAGGAAGAGGAAGAAACTTCCCGGAAACCAGAGTATGGTTGTTCTACTTGGAACATTTTTGGATTGACAGAATGAGTTTTTAGTATTGAAAATGTTCAGTATTTATTAACTTTTTTAACGGTGAGGAAGTGAGATAAGAGAGGGGTTGAGATAGTGTCAGGCCTAGTGGACATAGAGAAATAAAAGTGAGAAATTGCTAATTCTGTTTTTGTGAAATTAGGAAATTTTGAATGTTCATTGATGTTTATTTTAAAGTAATCGCAAGAAGTTATCAAAAACCGAAGTTATTATTCTGGCACAAACACGGTGTTTTTTCAGGACGTAAAGTAAATTCTCTCTAACGCGAATACCGTAGTTAAGAGCGCTGAGTATCGACGCGCATGCTTTAAACTGAACTACTTGAGTCGCTACGCAGGTGTGCCTGCATTCCATCGGCCAAAAGGCGCGAATTCGAAATTATTTTTAAAAACGTTCCGGAAAAAACACCGTGCACAAAAATTCGGAGCTGTGGACGAGAAATGCCGGTGGCCGTAGCCGAAGGTCCTACAACAAAAATTACCGTACCCTAACAATATTTTTTGTTTTTTGTTTTTCGCCAAACAAATTCACGGTGTTTTTTTCGCAAATCGTCTAAATGCGCTCTAACGTAATCCTACAGCAAAAGCCTCGCTGCACGAATATTGATACAATAAAACCTTTGAAAAATTTATTTTTAAGGTGCGCAAATTGTCGCTGTGGGACTTTCGGCCTCGTCAACAGCTCCAATTTTTTAAAGATTATAATAATAATTTCGGTTTTTGGATAACTTTTTGTCATGATTTCAACCAAAAATTACAGGTTTGCTGATTTTTTTTCAATAAATGTGTTTTAATATTTCCCCATGTAATTGTGAAAAGTAGTTCATTTATACTCGAAAAGACCCGTAAATGTGAAATGTTGGACGCCGATAGTCGATGTACATGTACAAGTATTTACAAAGAAAACAAGTATGTTGAGAGATAATTGGCTCATCGAATTCTGTTCATCCGGATTTGTGGCAGCGGACTTGGACAAGGAGTATCATCCACCGGCACGTCGCTGACTAGAGTTCGAGTCCTCGGACGAGATATCTTGTGAAATATTCCTTTCCTATAATAAAAGTTTAATTGATTTCTGACAATGAAAAGGAAAATCTCACCTGCAATGCAAAACATCAGACAGTGCAGTTCTAAAACGTTTTGAAAGACACGCATAGAGAATTGGGTTGATCGCAGATGACATGAATAACAAAATGTAGGATAAGGGTTGAGTAAGCATCATCCAATCCGAATTGCAGAATGGTTCAGTTTCAAAACTCTGAAAAACAGATAATTAGTTGGTGACCCCCTTCATTATTTTCCATGAATCATTTTTTGGTTTTGTTTTCTGTCCATAAAAAGGGAAACTGAATGTTATTGCTCATGCTAAAAAACAACTCAAGATGCAAAAACAACATAAACTCACCGTATAAAGAATTCGGGCATGGTGTGGAAGAGTTAGAACTGCAAATGCGACAACAACAGCTACAAGCAATCGAACCACTTTTCTCCTTCCTTCTGTGTCTTTTGGCTTTTTCGATTCTTTTTTTGATTCCTTCTTTTTTATTGGAACTTTGAGAAGACTCTCCTGATTGAACATTACGACCTTCCCATTCTTCATTTGCCAACTTGCTCCTGGAGTTGCACTAGTTGTACCGTTTCCGTTTTCGAGATCTCCTTTAGAATCTGGAACTGAATTTCTTTTTTAATAATCTGAGATTAGAAATCTACCATGACTTTGTCTGCTACTCTGTCGAGTACTATCCGATGTCCATAGCAGGTGGCTAATTCTGGAGTAGATGATTGTTAAGCATATCAGTGGAATCAAGTACCAAATAACAAATGAGAAGATATTCCATAGAGGGATTCTTTAAAATGAAAAATTTAAAGATGTAAAAGTGCTGATTTCTTACGCTATTCTGAAACATGCGACTTGATCTTCCATTTCATAGTATTTGGCATTTATAAAATATGGGACGTTAACACCGACACTTATAACCCACACGGCTACACATGCGCGTTTACGGTTTTCTGGAGTCAACCACTTCAATCCTGACAAAGGATGTAGTACTGCAATGTACTTCTCCGCTGATACAAGCACCAAAATACCGGCACTGGTACATGGCATTACGTTAGTTATACCAAGATACGCACGACACAGAAAGGCTCCAAGAGGCCAATTTCCGTGGTCGAGTCCAATGAGATGGACCATATTTTGTAGAATACAGAACACGGCAACAAGTATATCAGCTGCTGCCAGATTGCTCAAGAAGTAATGTGTTGGTGTTTTCATCATTGGATGAGTTGTGAGAACTGCTAAGGTTAGCAGATTTCCTGAAAGTTATGATTCTTTAAGGAGTTTGTGGCCATGGAATTTTCAGGTACAGTCACAGGGTAACGGCTGCGCATGGTATATGCCTAGGCGCGCATATAGGATGCTATGTGCACCAATAATAATTCCGTGGGTAGCGCGTGCGCGCTATATGCGTCGTCGCTGGGCACGACTGGTCACCCATATAGCATCCATATAGCATGCACGCTTTTCCCATGAAAACGACAACCCACCAACGACACTCCGCTATTACGCTAGTGCGCGTTGTTTAGCAAAATTTTTCACCGCCGATCTTGATCAATTTTTCGATCATATTGATCATATTTCCTGCTTTCAACACAGGGTAACGGCTGCGCATGGTATATGCGTTGGCGCGGCGCCTCATATGGACGACATAGGTACACCGTTTGCGCGCATATAGTACGCTATATGCGCGCACGCGCCATCGAGATCGGGCATGACGCGTCCATATTTCATCTACAATTTCAGGTCGTATTGGCGATGGATATCTCTTATATGGATTAATTCATCTAACTATAGTTGTAATAAGATGTGATTTTGTTCAGATCTTCCAATATCGTTCATTTTCCCTTTCAGATTTCACAGAGTGACCATTTTTCCAGTTTTCACAGAATTTTCTCACAGCAAGAAAAATTATGGCAGGAAGTTAAAACTATCTGGAAGAAATAACATAATAAATTTTCCCTTCAAAACTGCGATATAGAAAACTTGAAAAAAAATTCAACAAAGTCTTGAAATTGGCATTAATTCGCATAATTTTGTTTTCGAAATAATTGTGTGTTTCTCGGATTTTTTCCTACTTTTACTTCGTAATAATCGGAAAACTTACCAACCAACCTGTATTTCACCTGGAAAATATATTATTCCGCTTATTCCGAAGTAAAACAGAAAAGTCCTAATTTCAAGAAAAACCGGATCTTGTAAAAAATTTTACCTATTTCTTTTCTAAAAATAAGTTTTATTTTCGTTAGCCATAATTTTTACATGTGGAAACAGTGAGAAGTTCTTTGAAAGCAGGAAATATGATCAATGTGATCGAAAAATTGATCAAGATCGGCGGGGAAAATTTTTGCTAAACAACGCGCACTATATGCGCGCCTAGACATATACCATGCGCAGCCGTTACCCTGTGAAAGAACTTCTCACTGTTTTCACATGTAAAAATTATGGCTAACGAAAATAAAACTTATTTTTAGTAAAGAAATAGGTAAAATTTTTGACAAAATCCGGTTTTTCTTGAAATTAGGACTTTTCTGTTTTACTTCGGAATAAACGGAATAATATACTTTTCAGGTGAATACAGGTTGGTTGGTAAGTTTTCCGATTATTACGAAGTAAAAGTAGGAAAAAATCCAAAATTATTTCGAAAACAAAATTATGCCGATGAATGCCAATTTCAAGACTTTGTTGAATTGTTTTTTTCAAGTTTTCTATATCGCAGTTTTGAAAGAAAAATTTATTATGTTATATCATCCAGATATTTTTAACTTCCTGCCATAATTTTTCTTACTGTGAGAAAATTCTGTGAAAACTGGAAAAATGGTCACTCTGTGAAATCTGAATGGAAAATGAACGGTATTGGAAGATCTGAACAAAATCACATCATATTACAACTATAGTTAGATGAATTAATCCATATAAGATATATCCATCGCCAATACGACCTGAAATTGTAGATGAAATATGGACGCGTCATGCCCGATCTCGATGGCGCGTGAGCGCATATAGCGTACTATATGTGCGCAAACGGTGAACCTATGTCGTCCATATGAGGCGCCGCGCCAACGCATATACCATGCGCAGTCGTTACCCTGTGGTAGTATTTTTTGGTAAAACTAGAATCTACTATGCCAAGTCACAGTTTTTGTTTCCGATAAGATGGTGCAAAGAACAGTAGCTCCAGGGTAAAACTCACCAACAAGACAAACGACGAACACGATACAATAGATAACCATCAACGGATATCTGACTGATGGTTGATCCAACAGCGAGACACCGCAAGAATCCGACACATTGCTCAGGAATAAAAGTGTCTCATTCATCTGAAAAATCAAAAAATTATTAAAAAAAGAAGAAGCACGTGGTGGTTATGTGTAGTCAGGAAGTGATAAGAAATCATGGAAACTGTGTAATGAATTTGGACATTGAATATTGGACATTAGGAGAATGAATTTAACACTTCGAAAGTCAAATTTCCTAGAAGAGAACGAATAGTATAATCAGCCATTTTCAGAAGGGAACTGGGATTCTCAATGGGATTCATTTGGGATTCCAAAGGATTTCAAGAAATAGAGAGATGCAAAGAATTAGAAGAACATGGAAATGAGCGATCAGTGAATAGAGGTGTTCGTCATTCAGCAGAGCATACTCGAGGATTGTCTTCATTAATGTTGGCTTGAAGTGCGATGGCTAGAAGTTTTAGTGTTATTATACTGTAACAAAAAATTCGAGTTCTGGAAGACAAAAGCTGTTGGCCATTGCGGCAAATCCATCCCATAACGACAACTACAGTAATCTAAAAATATGTTCAGTTTCAGGATTTATTTTCTGGTTTTTTTTTACAAGTTTTGTCGGTTTTTCTTTCATTCTCCTTCAGAAAAGTCGCAAGATTCAATTTTTGATAGCGAGAAATTTACTGAAAGAACTTTTAGGTTACGGTAGTTACCTCGGTCAAAGCCACTGGCACTTCTCTTCCACAGCTCCGATTTTTTAACAGCATAATTACTGCATTTTTCAAAAAGATTACTGTAGATACTTCAAAAAAATGAACACTTAAATAGAAGAAGTTTATACAGACCTTCCAATAATTTGTATTTTTAAAAAAACCTACATACTTAATAGTGATGCTTGTTTTCATACTTTTTATCCGGGATTTTGGAAGTCTCATCTACAGTAATCCAGATACATTTTTCATTGTTTAGAGTGAATCGAAAGTTTCCCCTTTGAATTTACTAGATCAACTTTGAAAATTGGTCTCTCTTTAATTGATAATTTCCGCATTTGATGACACTCGCGGAGCTATAATTAGCCGAAAACAAGGAAAAAGACAATAACAAAAATAACATATTTTAGGACTTTGTGACCTGAATTTTAAGCGAGCAAAAAAAGTATATAGTTTGAAACCTTGACTTTATAAAATATCAAAAATTTCCCTGAAATGACAAGTCATCTGATTCACAAGGGAAAAGTAGTAGTTAGTTATTACAAACATCTCAACTTCCTTTTTTTCATGTTTTCTGCTTCCACGTGTCTCATTTTCTGACGCCTACTCTTGTTTCATTCAAGATCAGAAAAGTATGACAAGGAGAGAGTGGGAAATGAGATCTCCACCAGAACAAATAGGCTTTTTATAGAGAGCCTAGCCGCTTTATTATATACTGATTTTTTTTTCTGGAATTTCCCACAATTGTTTTTGGTAAGGCGAAAGCTGAATACAAACTACATTAATTTCATACTGATCAGATTAGGAAATCAATCGAAAAAATAGGGAAGAAGGGGAGAATAGATGGCAAATTTTATTTGATTACGAATCGTGTCGTCGTTTTTGAAATTCGAAGAGAGCCAATTGGCTACTGGATGCTACTGAGAGTGGCGGCAAAATGGTGGAATGCTGATAAATTTTGAGTGAAAAATTAGTGATAAGCTTTGTTGGATGATCGACGGGAGAAGTCACCGTCATGAGTTCAATTCTACCTGAGTCAGCCGATTTCCGATTTTTTTTTGGGAAAAAGTCATGAGATTCTGAAGATAATTAGGAACAATCAGATGTGGTTTATTAGCAAGAGAATTCGGGAAAAATTCAGCGGGACGAAAAAGAACAAACAAATAGAAAATCGAAATAGTGCCAATTTACATCTGTATTCTTTGCCGCAAAAAAACAATTTTACAGAAATAGCGCATCTGCGGTTTCATGTATTTTACGGATGAGCTTCAGAAAACTCTAGGGCAAGCTTTAAGTATTCGAATTCGCTCTCCTAAGTTTCAGAAATTGATAAGCTTGAATTCGAAAAACCTTCGTTTTTGATCAACTTCAATATTTGACGAAATTCGAATTTTAGGTTTCTACGATGTCATCAGATGATGTTTGCAAGCTTGCTTGCATCCCATTAATGAATTTTTAAACTTTTTATTGTCAAAAATTTTGCAAATTGAAAGTAGTTGACCTCTTGTAATATAAACTTATCAATCTTCCGATTTGATAAGAGTAAAGAAGGGCTTATTGACAGTTTACAGAAGCAATTCGCAAGGATTAAATATTGATTTGGGTCAGTTTAATGACAAAGAATTTTTTATTGACGTTCAGCGAACATTAGAAAAATATTAGGAAAATGTTTTACAACGAATCAGTTTTATAAAGTTACAGGTCAGAATCAGTTATGCAAACAACTATGGTTCTTAAAATACATACCGTAAAACCTGTATTAAAAGAACCCCTTTTATAGAAGGGTCCCTCTAATAGAAGGGCCCCCTTCAAAATGTGTTGTTTGAAATTAAGAATTTTCGTACGTTTTCAGTGAAAAGTATTCGAAAAAACCAACATGTTCTTGGAAATTTGCTGAAACACTATTTTTCACTCAAAAAACTTGCTCGATTGATTTTCATGAATTTTGAACGAGAACTCACCAAATTTGTCTATGAACAGTTTTGGAAAAATGGGCTGTAAAAATGAAATGACCTCTCTAATAGAAGGGCCCCTGTAATAGAAGGACCCTTCAGAGGTACCTGGAACAATAGATGGGCCGGCCCTTCTAATACAGTTTTAACGGTATGATTAGTTTTTTTTTTTCAAATTACAACTGATTAGTTTTTTTTTCAAATTACAGATCAGAATCAGTTATTCAATTGACTGATAGCGATGCTCATAAACAATATCACATTGATTCAGAAAGTTTTTTTTCTATATCATACTGTTGAAAAGGTCTCAAATTTAGCAGGTATTCAATTCCAAAAAGTCTGTGTGATATCTGCTTACTTTTGTCCTGTTTTCAAGTTAGAAAAAACTGAAAACTCGTAAGCATGTTGAGCAGGAAATCGTGAACAAACTAATGTGCTTTTCTTATTTTTCAATAATAATAATAATAGGATCATAACACAAAATCATCATTTCCTAATTTGAAAATTCCATATAAAATGTTACTTGTAATCTTTAACTGTTTGACTAATATGAGCACAAAAGTAAATGCAAACAATATCAAAATTATCTGAACACAAATGCACTTTCATAAAGAGTATGCACTTTCATACAGAGTAATCAAAAATGAATCAACCATTCATCAGAAAATTCCACTCAAAAACCAAATTTCAAACCATTGGAGAATACTAAAAGGCACCCTAGAATGGGTTCTTTTGAAGGTTCGAAACTGAATTACTTCAAGTTCTTTTAAGTTCTGGGAGGTAACATCACAGATCGCAAAACTCAGACAGGGACGTCCATTTATTGTTTGCGAAGGAGTGTCATCAGAAGGAAAAGCTATAAACTTTTACATTTCTCGGAACGAACTATTTTGAGCTCTAAAAAATGACGATTCCATATTTGGGTTTTCCTTTTATTCAAACAATCTCAAGATCGTGTTTTTTCTTTGCCTTTTTTCATTAGAAATTCTATTCGAAGAAAAAAAAAGAAACAATGGAATGTTTTCATTCGGTGTAAAAAAAGCGAAAAGTCCATGGATTTGCTTCCTTTTTTCCAAGAAGAGTCTGTTTCAAGGATGCAAAAAGGGTTGGAAGAAATCTAAAAGGTTCCACAAAAGCGAAAAATTGGAATCAAGGCTAAAACCGGCGCCAAAAAGGATTAGGTTCTCGTCGTCAGCTGACTGAAGCGTTTTCAAGCATACTACTCTTGAAAAAAAATGCTGAATTCAGAATCTGGGATTCTCATCTGAATACATTTGACCTTTTCGTTGATGAAACTACGAACAATAGCTGGAAGAATAGGGAGTAGACTTTTGCAGAAAGAAGAGGAAGAAGTTTTAATTTAATTGAGTTTCCTTTGGTGGAAAAGTTGTGCATTCAATGTGGATGTGGAGAGGAAAATTAAATGAAACCTGGAGGTCTGACAAAAAAAATAAGAAAAAAAAATCAGCTGCTGATTTGGAAAACTTTTTCCAGTTTCGGCCTTTAATTTTGAAAAAAACTTGATGCAATAAAATTGGAAACAACTAGAACGTTTTGAGAATTCAACTACAGTAATTCCCAAACCCAGCTAGCGTAAAACCTGTATTAGAAGAGCCGGCTCTTCTATTGTTCAAAGGTACTTTTGGGGGGCCCTTCAAATAGAGGGGACCTTCTATTCAGGCCCTGGCACGAGTGGTAAAGACCTACTGATATTTACGGGGACCTACTGGTATTGTGCGGTAAACATAGTGCGAGCGGAGCGAGAAAAAAAAGCTTTCGTGGAAATATTTTAGGTATGTGATTTGGACCTAGTGATATTATTGGAATTTTACCTACTGATATTTAGGTCGTGAAATTTTCAGTGCCGGGGGCCTTCTATTTGTCCGCATATTTCTTCCAAAGTTTTCAATCGAAATGTGATGTGAATTCTCCTGAAAAATTTCCGGAAATTTTTTGACTGAAATTGTACGGAACATTTTGATTTCAAACAACACATTTTGAAGGAGCCCTCCTATTTTTCCAAGCCTCTCTCGGAGGCATACATGTGGATGGCCGGCCCGCTTGCCTCAAAACCCTCGGCCCGGCCCGACCCGCCTAGGACAAATTTTCGAAAATGTTACTTTTCAAATGTGCCAATATATTTTTAATAGCACAAATATTAATCCAAATGCAAACAACCATTCGAAAAAGTCAATTTAATTGAATTTTTAGCAAAAAAAATCAAACTTCATTAAGCCAAGGATGAAATGTTTTTCTAAAAACGACCTCAAAACAGTTTTTTTCGACAGAATCGTCCTCTAGATTTTTTATTATTAAGGAGAAAAGCCATCTTAAAAAATGATGATTTGTTCTAAAATTTCAACATTTTCAACATTTTCAATGTGTAATTTTTTCCGGCCCGGCCCGGCCCGCTTTCAGAAAAATCTCAGCCCGGCCATGGCCCAGCCCGGCCCGGCCGGTCCGCGGGCCGGCCATCCACAAGTATGCTCGAAGGGCCCTTCTATTAGAGGGATCCTACTAATACAGGTTTCACGGTATTCTCACAAGTTAGTCATAGAAGGAAAAAGTTGTGCGTTTAGTTGTAAAATGAAAAGTCAAATGGATGAATTTTTCTCAAACCTTCCCCCCAGCACCGCCCGGAATCGAGCTCCACACACGGCCTATATCTGATTTCAGAATGAAGGCAGAAGAGGAGGTTGCAGCATAATTTGGTGTCGGATTTCATAATGTTTGACTCGAACGACAAAAAACGGAGAAAGCCTTTTCCTTCTCTAACAGGCAAATTGGAATGTTTTATTGCTGGTGAAGGATGGCTGGAGCAGAATAAAAAAAGGATAGGGAAAACGACAAAAAAAAGAGAGAGGAGGAGCACAATCAACCTTGTGCTTTTGTTTCTGGTGCAAGATGATTGACTGAGCATCGAGTTCATAAGAGGACTCATTTCCGGTACTGAATATTATTTTGATGGTTGTGGTTGATGGGACGCGGGAAAAATAGAAAAGAAGAAGAGGGTGGAGGGAAATGGAACAAGAATGGAAAAATAGAAAAAAGAGCATAATAATATACAAAATGATACAAATAAGATATATTATTTAATTCTTCTTCTGAAACCGCTTCAGAATCTTTTTCACGTTTTGAACGTAGAACTGTTTAGTGTGCGGATGCACTGGGATGTCGAATATTACTGGCTCGTTCTGAAAAAAAAATTGATGGATTATCTATGGGGAGAAAAGAGCTTATTAAAAGACTCTGGAGAAAACGAGCAGAAAACAACCAAAAGTATAAACAACCGGAGTAATGTTTTTATTGATTGCAGGGGTAATAATTATTATTCTGGTACAAAACAACGGAGCTGTGGAAGAGAACGCTGGTGGCCGTGGCCGAAGGTCCCATAACAAAAATTACAAAAAAAGTTTTAATTTTGGATGTTTTCTTGTTTTTCACTACCTTTATTTTCCCACCAAACAGGTCCGAAAATAAATTTTTTTTGATATTACGGTAGTTTCCGTTTTGGACCTTAGGCCACGGCCTTCTCTTTCACACATCCACTTTTTTGTATCAGAAGAATATTGGCTCCACGTCACTTCGAAACTGCGACAATTCGAAAAAAGTCATTTTGAAACCGTGGTAATACATGCGAATGGATGAGTTTCAGACTACATAAACCATTTTAGGATTTCGAATGTGATTTTTCTGATAGAACACATTTTGAAATCCGAAAAAATCCAAAATGTAATATTTAAAAAAACAATTTTTTGAATTTTTCGAGTTTCAAAATGTACCTATTCTATCAGAAAACACATATTTGAAAACCCTAACACTATTTTTCGTAGTCTGAAATTTATCTATTTGACTGTATCACCACGGTTTCGAAATGACCGTTTCGAAATGACTGGATTTGAAGTGTCGCAGTTTCGAAGTGACGCGGAGCCATAATATTAATTTTAAATGGTTTTCAATCGATTTTCAAGTTCACAGCTCACCTTCACATCCAAATTTTCATTACACTGACAACAATTGATAAACTTTGTGTATCCATCAGTCGTGCATCCGTATCCTTCATGAATGTGTCCGAACACGTGGTACTTTGGTCGGACTCTCTTGAAAACCGTGTTCAGTAATTCGACACATCCCATTCTCTGCCCATTGTTCATCATGTCCCCATGACCTAAAATGTGCTACTTCGAACCCTTCCAAAAGTTCATTCCTACCAAGTGGTGGAGTATGTGTTAGAAGTACGTCAACTCCAGTTGGGATCATATTCCATTTGTCGAGAAGCGACTGACCACGAGATAGGTTGAATGCCCAGTTGTCTACTTTTGGTTGCCTAAATCATTCAGAATTCCAAAAAAATATCAAAAGTTATCTCTAACCATGGTGTTCCATAGATTGTAATTCCAAACAATTCGATTACGTTATCTTCCAAATAAATTGCATTCGAGAGTAGCTCCTAAACATCAAGACTACTGTAACAAGTGTGTTATGCTCTCTCTTACTTTTGCTGAAATTCCACCCTTCGAATCGGAGTGAATTGCTGATAACATTGCTTGTTTCAGTGCCATCTCTTTGGGTTCTGACTCTTTGTCTGCAAATTGTGATTGTTGATCGTTGTGATCTTCCAGAATTTGCTCACTCAATTTAAGGAATGTGTCGTCAAATGTGCATTCGTGATTGCCTCCTATCACCACTTTGTAAGCGTATTTCAGTTTTCCAAGCAATTTATTGAAACTGTGAACTTCGTTGGGGAGACCACAAGAAGTGAAATCTCCAGCTACAAGAAGGACGTCACCGGGTGGAAGTTTGGATAAATCCATTTGTTCTCCATGTGTACATCCAATACATACAAATCGGACATGATCTGGCTTGACAGGAGTATCCAATCTCATCTGACGTACTGGTTTAACTGGTCTCTTCTCTTTGAGCATCTCCCATGCTAGCGTTGGATCCTCGGTATATTGATGAAGAGGAACCTGAAAATTAATGCACTTTCGTTTTGAAAGCTTGAAAATAGATGGTGCGAGTTATCGGGTCATTAATCTCCCATTCAGGTTGTTTTCGAGTTTTTGATGGGAATTTGGCACGTGTCCTGTGTCGTCTGGTTGTGATGGATTCGCACTTACAGTCTTTCCACCACCTATTGGCGACACCGAATCTTTTCTATTCGGATATATTCCACTAATGGATCCACCGTTTAAGGAAGTTCTTCTCTGTCGATTACGCCAATCATCTCGTATGGCTTGGTCTTGGAATATCGAAGTGGTTCCGAGCAAATTTCGAGACTTGGAAAACATTTAGAAACTAGAAAAAGAAGAAAAAGTGGAAGTAACAAGATGATGGTGAGAATCAATTAGAGGTGGAGAAAGATCGAAGAAGAGTTGCTGAATGAGAATCCGAATGGGAGATTTATGGGTGTGCGAGTGTTTCAAAAACACACTGCACTCGAAATGATTTTCGACCGATGGGCGGAAGAAGAAGAAACGAGTAGATGATGCTGTTAAATGAAGTCATGAGTTGACAAGTGCCGGATAGGTTATGTTGCAAAAAGAGCCGCAACAAGACAATAGGAAGGGTCACTGGTCACTTTTTGTGTCTTGGTTCAAAAATCCAGAGTAAAATGTCCAGAGTAAAAGTAACTTGAAAATATCCGGACGAAAACTCGAAAAGTAGAGAAAAGTGACAACTTTCGAGTGGGGAAAAGGTTAGAAAATGTTCGGGAAGTTGGTTCTGAGAGATCATCTGATGAATAACGAATCAAAGACGGCCATCATCGGGTGGATCTCTTATCATCTCTTCTTCTTTTTTTTTCGTTCGATTCATGAAAAGAAAAAAACGTTGAGACTCTTTTCAGGACCAACAGTTGGTGGGGTTGATGAAGAGATGGATTGTTTCTTCTTCGACGATTGGTAGTGGCGGAAACTCTTCGGTGTGAGAGAACACATTTATCAATTTATATCTTCTTCTTCTTTTTTCGTTTCCGATAAAAACATTCGATTCGGATAAAGATCATATGGTATTTTTGTCAAATGTTTACTGATCAGGAACCTACCGGAGTGGAGAGTTTCCTTCTGGATTTTTTGTCGACTGGAAGAGTAGAAGCGATGGAAGATCGACGACTGGGCGACACGTTGCCAAGTTCAAAACTGTCCACAATTATGGATCCCGAGCTCCGTCCTGAAATAAAGAATCTTTAAAAATAAGGGTCCGATAATGATTCCTACTTCTGTCTCTGTTAAATCCAATGAGTTCCTGATCCTCCATCATCGGTTGGAGGTACGAAGCAGTGCGGCTTCGCGATGGGAACATCATTTTCTGAAAAAAGATGAATAGAATTGACACTGCTCGTTTTAAATGGCAATCCAAGAATGAAAAACGATCAAATGTCTGTATTTTTAATATGAAGTTGGTTCTATAAAAGTTAATCGATTTTAATTCCCAGTAAAACAATGAAAACTAATTTACTAGGAACTTTTACAAGATTCTGAAAAGTTCAAGACAGTTACCCCTTCTTAAATTTTAAATTGATAAGACAAGAGTATTACAAACAGTCGGAGCTGTGAAACCCACAACGACAACTACAGTAACCTAAAAATACTTATTTTTTCTAGGATTTTTTGCTCGATTTTCGTGCGTTTTCAGTCCATTTTTTCTGGAGGAAAATATCAGAAAAACCAACAAAAAGTAGTTGAAAATGAGAAAATGAAAATATTTTGAGGTTACTGTAGTTGTAGCTTTGGGACCTTCGACCACAGCTCCGACTTTTCGTACCAGAATAATAGTGGAACTGAATTTTTTCAACACAATCTACCGTACACCTGCTAGTAAGAAACATAGGAATCTTTGAACTAAATAAAAATAGCTTTGAAATAGGCTGAAAGAAGCTTTATGAAACTCTAAATGAAAGTGGAGGGAGTTGTTCTTCCAATGATAAAAAGTGACCAAAGCACGGGATAGGTCCTCAAAGGTACCCGCCGATGTATCTTCATATCCTTTTCCTTCTTCTTCCTGCTATTTTCCTCTTCTTCCGTTTTGATCAAAGTTCTGACCTTCTTCCATTTCTCACTATTCCCTTTGGATACCTACCTCATCTTGTGGCACTGGCGCGGAGCTTCTAAAAACACAAAGATTAAAACATAACACAAACAATGAGCTAAAAACACGACACGAACCTCCGATTGAGTGACACTTTGAGCAATGCAGGACTCAGCATTCCTGCAAAAATGATTCTGATTTTTTGGGACTCTCTGAAGGTTGAGAGGATGGAGGGAAGCTTTTTTGAAGAGTTCTCGAGAGTGACAAAATGAAGTGTTGGATGACAATGAAACAAGAAACGGGATCTGAATGGGTGCAAAGATTGAATTGGAAGAGAATTGGTGGAATGTTCGGAAAGAAGAGAAACTGAGAAACGGAGGATCATGGAATTAGGTACTTGAAAGAAATCATTTCAGGTTGAGTGCAAAACCTTTGGAGCGAATGAGCTGTTTAATGGGAACAAAACACACTATTCGACTAATTAAAAGAGCAATGGGTTCGCATTAAGTTTAAAGTTGAGAAATGTAATACTGTAGTTCTGTATTTATTTTACTCGGTGCTGGCCATAAATTTATACAAAAACCTGATTTTCCGTTGGTTTCGACCATTTTCAACAGCTTGTAGCTCGACTGTCTAGTCTAGTGATCCCTTTGAAAATATTGGAAATCATAAAACAGACTTAGTTTGAAAACTTTGCATTTATAGAATTTTTCGAAAATTTCTGGTTTTTCAGCTATTCACCGATTTCTGAGGGACGCCCCTTTTTTCCTGTTTTTGTACTGAAAACGATAAAAAAGCAGGTGTCGATCAGAAATCGGTACTGTAAAACTAAAAGACTGTAAAGCTAAAAGATTCTCGGTAAACGGACGAAAATCGAGAAAAAAACATGTGAAAGTAGAAAAAATACGGTGGTTCGATAGTGGCCGCGGACACCAAACGTTCTCCTCCAAAGCTTGTCAGATGTTCGTATACCATGATAAAACGGTGATAGCTATGAACACTGATCAACACCCACAACTTAAAAAGCAGTAAATACATTTCAAAACACTGAGAAGATCCTATAATCCAGCTCTCCGCTCTCCGGGTCGGCTCAGAGTGATCTGGTTTTTGACAAACAACATGAAGTAATCAATCAGATGATTTATTTCGATTGCATTTCTGCTCTCGATTTTTCTTTTTGAATTGTTCTTTGGAAGTTTGAAAAAATATGTTAGATTTAAGAAATATTGAAAAAATTCTACAAAATTTGGAATCAAATACGGTAAAGCAGAAAAAGTGAACCATGGTTCTAGACACCGGGAATTCTGGATCTAGACAAACATACTCACTTGAAATCCGAATCTTCAATTAAATTTGTTTCAATTATTCAGAGAAACAGACACTGATCATTACAAACACGGTAATTTCTATTTTTGAATCTGTCAAGAGTTTTAAAAACTTCCTTACCGTATTTCCTCTAATAGACGCCTGCCCAAACCATCAACTTTGAGCTGAATTATTTCGATTCTTGTGAAAGGTACCAAAAATTTGTGAACTGATAAAATATTGATGGTATTATGATAAAAAATTTATCAGTTGACTTATTTTTGACATCTTTTACAGGAATCGAGAAAAATTGGCACAACGTTAAAAGGGAGGGGACCCTTCTATTACAGGTTTTACAATATGTTCAGAGAAACATGACTGATCATTAAGAACATGATATTTCCTAATTTTTGAGTCTATTAAAAGTTCAAAGAGCTTCATATTCTTCTATTTAATGACAGATTCCGAAACTCTTTTCTTACAACTGCAAATTTTTAAGATAAAATAAAAATGGAAGCTCCTCATACTTGAAAAACACGAACCAACAAAACTGGACGGAAAAAAGTAAAGTGACTGGTTGTTGGAACGGATGAGTGAGGGAGGCACCATCAGGTGTTGATTTACTCGCCACCAGTACCAAACGACTCCTCCGTCTTGTTCATCCTCCCTCACCTCCGGCAGGAAAATCTGTCTCGCCACAAAGACTTGTCATAACTCATCAATAAACGTTTTTGACACCCCACAACGGGTCACAATAAGCGATCAAAGTTGAGAGAGCTGTGGAAAAGAAGACTGAAAGGTTTGAAGACAGTGGGAATGATGATGAGTGGTGCTCAAAAAAACGAAGAGCAGGGGAGAATCGGGTACGACGGCGGCGACTGGGGTCGTGTAGCCGAGTGATGGATTAGGATGGGGATGGGGCGGGAGGAGGATCAATTGAAAAAGGTGTCGACAATCACAAGATGAGTATTTTCCCAATATTCTGGAAGAGGGAAAATATGAACAAAGACTCGTGCTAGTCCTGAGAGACTCAAAATTATTGGATGTTTTGTTTCTGAAACACACCTCTTAGTGGTTATTGGTTCGCTAGTAGATCAGTGGCAGTCTGGATATCCCAATTCTTGGAGTTCCATTATCTCTATAGCACATCTCTACTGATGCAACTCGCAGTGAGTCAGAACACCAATGCAGAGAAACTTGTGATGCAAAAAAATGCTTGTCAACTCATAAATAAAATTATTCCTGGAAAAAATTGATTGGAAAGATGACACATACCGGAAAGAAATTGTAATAGAAGGGCCCCTACACTGCCAACTTTGAACTTATTCATCTCGATTCTTTGAACTTATTTATCTCGAAAGATATCCAAAAGTTGACAACTATTAAAATTGTTATCCTAATATCAAAAACATTTTGACAACTTGTGTTTTCATTGACAACTTTTTTTTATATCTCCGACAAGAAACGAAAAAAATAGGCTCAAAGTCAAAAGTTAGGAGGCCCTTCTATTAAACGTTTTACGGTAACACCACATTCTCTAGAAGATAAAGGCGTGCCATGTATCAAAAAACAGATTATTTAATAGCTGCAATTGTGGGTTCAAAATTCAACGTTTCTAAATTTATCAGAGAAGTAAATATACCGTAAAGCCTGTAATAGAAGGGCCCCACTCTGTCAAGTTCAGACTATTGTTTTTAACTGGCTTTAACTGGCTCTGTTTTTAACTGGCTTCGTCGTCTTCTCTTTTTCCATCCTCATCGTATATAACCCTTCCTTTCTCATTCTTCTTCTTCTTCCTATATCTTCTCGATTAACCTTTCGACAATAAATCAGATGCTCTCATCCCAGACAGCTGTCTTTATCTGCTATCTTCAATCGTACCGCCCGTTTTTCGCTTGTTTTCGCATCTCTGAAACTGTGCTAGAAGAATGATTTTTGATTGAAATATAAATAGCATCGAGTCAATTAACAGCAGCAAAACACACCAAGACAGACAGGGAACTACTTCAATTTGTACTCTGGAAACGAGGGAGATGGTTTAATTTCCGTGTTGTCTAGGAAAAGAAAAAGGGTAAAAAAAAATATTTCAGGTCCAATCTGTTCAAACCAACAGCTTGGCAATGTCTGCAGTTTTTTCAACAGAATTTATGCAGAGATACAGCTTATTCAAAAGAGTTTGCGATTCAGACGAGATAAGATTCAAGCAGTCGGTGATTTGAACTTCATCTCGAAACCAATAAAAAATGCAATTTTCTTACTTTCTCACTCTTGCAATTGGTCTCCACTATAAATAACAACTCTGAAACTCACATGATCTGATATATCACTCCTCATTATCCGTTTCTGAACGTTTCGAATCCACATGATGAAAAAACAGCTGACATGGTAGTTAGCCGGGTGTCAACCTAATTACTTTTCTGTCACAACCTTTCCCCCATATCCGTGTTAGTTCACAGAAACAAATTTTATCAAAAATTAACAACTTCATTAGAAAAATTACCCTATCTCCGATGGAACTTTTGTGTAAAGTGAGACCGTCACATATCAAACACGATTTCAGCAACAAAATAAAAATAAAAATTGGGATATACCGTAAAACCTCTAATAGAACGACACCCGGA